TAAAAACAGTAGTATTCTGAAAGGAAAAAGTTGACCTTCCAATTTTCGCAAACGTGTGGCAAGTATGCAGGTGGTAACTCTTGCTTCTAAAAATTCTGGATTACTTCCACTGGAAATGACCAGCTTAGTACATGCAGTCATAACAGTTACTTCTGGAAGGATTTACACTGCATGAAAATATCGGCAATAGTGATGATATTTGAAATGTGATCATCAGCATGCAGCCAGTTGCACGGTTTATCTATGGAAGTACAAATTATTATTGTTATTATCGCTGCAAATAGGAATATCACTACATATCGAAACGACTGTAAGATCATCAAAGCCATATGTACAGTTGCTTGCCATCTTCTTACTTCTTGCCCCACATTCCCATTCCCCACGGTCTCATTCCCATGCCGTACATACCCATACCGGGGTACATTCCCATGCCGTATCCCATGCCATATGGTCTGTACATACCATAGCCTCCATAACCGCCCCAACCTAAAATTGTAAGTTCTCGATGGACAATGAGCAGCAATAAAAACGCGGAGCTTACCCCACTGGGCTGTTGCTGTATAGGCGAGAGCAAGCACGAACAACACAGTCAGTAGAAGCTTGCTTGACATCATATCCTGAAATGATTTTTTTGTTTTAGAAGAAACCGACGTTGTGCAATTAAATTCTGAGAGCGAACATGCGAAAGTTGGCAAAATGGTGAGAAATAATAATGTCATAAAGTAGGATCTAACTTTCTAGATACTTTAGACACCATTTAATTGATGTCAAACTAGTTTGCATACTTTAAAGTCATGAGACATTGATAAGGCAAGACCCGGCAATTTCAAACCATTGATTGTTTTGATATATTAAGTCGTTCCGAAAGTAATGTCGCTTTTTTCAAATGAACGCCGCAATTCGTAGAACAAAAGTTTCTGAGAGGTCTTGGTAGCATTCGACTTTGTAGAACAAAGATTTTTGAGAGATATTGGCACCATTCGATGCAGCATTTCATCTTCTTTGAAACAGTCATGAAATTTTTGCAGTATATTGAGTGGGCTCTCAGAAAAT